CGTGATAAATTAATGTCTGATATTTACAATCTCCCGATAGAGGGCGTACTCGAGCGTTGCGATCGCGAATAGTGTCTTACGATCAGTCATGGAGAATTATTATTGCAGGGAAACGCGTGTTATGAAAAAGAAGACGGTAGTTTATTTTGGGAACATCTTTTGAAAACTGCTGTACTTTTTTTAAAGTTCTCTTGGAGATGTCAACATTTAAACTTTCCAATTTTAAGTTTTTTGTTGGTATTGTAAAATAATAAACATTCCCATGCTACTAGTAACTTCCTCCAATCTCCATGAGCAAAAAAAAGAAAAAAAAGAAAGAAAGAAGAAAAAAATTATGAAACAATTCATGTGTAGAAATAAATTCGCGATCGCAACTCTCAAATCTACCATCTGGGGAGAAGAGCCGTTTTTTGTTTTGACCCTCCCCTCTTTCCCTCTCCTTCTCAGCTCAAAATTCTCAGATGATTTTTTTGAGATTTATATTTAATGCAGTTTTAATTGCTATATAATTTCCTAACTTAAATTTTTTTTATCTGTTTGAAACGAAGCTAACCTTACTTCTCCAAACTATACACACACTAATATTAAAAATAGACGAATTCAGAGGCCACGAAACCAAAGGGGTTCTTGCCCCCTCGCATTTTATAAATAAAAGGACACAGACCCTTCTAAGATTATACTTTTTCATTCAATATTTGTATCATTATATATACATTTTTAAAAAATAGATAATTTCTATGTGCCTGAATTCCAAAAAAGAAACCTATTTTAAGCGAGCTTTATCATTTTCTAGGTGGAAACTGCTACCAAATAATCCCTTACTCATCCCTTCGCACAGAAAATATGCGTCCCTAATGCTGACGGATGGGGAAAGTTCTTCTTTTCAAGCGAACAGAATGAAAGAAGAAAAAAAAACCGTGAAGCAGAATTTAAAAATATGCCCTTAAATGCGAGATAAATAATTTACAGGTAAACAATTTATTTTATTAAAATTATTTTAATTTTAAGACAATTAGAATCATGAAATTAAAATTGCAAGTTCAAATTCTTGATTGCCATTTTGTGAGACTCAGATTTGTGGAAAGAGGCTTTCCTCCCACTCTTAAGATTCTTGAGTCACTGTGAGAAGTGTTAACATAGAGACAGAGATCCGCTCTACCCTATCTGTAGCTCATTTCGATAGCAAAAATGATGATGCCCTAGAGTTAGAATTTTTCAAAAAACATCTTTAAGGAAATCGAATGTTTAGGATGATTTATGAAATTTTTCAGGTTCCGAACTACTCAGCCAATGAAGAATAGAAATCGTCTCAATCACAAGCTTCTTGAAATCAAAATACGCTTTTAAAGCATAAATGAGTCGCAATTAGCATTTACATTTTTTAAAAATCATGTATTCCTCTTTGGTTAATAATAAAAACAAAAAAAGAACTATTGACAGTTTGAGTTGAATCAGTGAAATGCGCTTATATGATGATATTTATTAATTAACTGTTTCATTTAATGAACAAATACCTAATCTTATTTTTTTAAAAATTATTATTTGGTCAATTATAATTGACCAAATAATACTACACTAAACTCGGTGGCACGACAGCCCTAGAGGGCCAAGCCCTATTGTGCCCATATCAGTTTTCTTGACCTTGGACTCTGGGGTGCAGGAGCAGATGTTCCGGTCAGGTGGTCAGCCGAACACGGAACCCCCAACGTTTAGTTCCCAAGCATGCTTGGTACTCATTTATCGACCTACAGAAGGGATGAAAGGCCGAGTCAACCTTGCCCGGCCCGAGGATCGAACCAGGGACCTACGGCACAACAGCGCGAAGCGCTACCGCTCAGCCACCGGGGTTTGGTCAATTATCTAGACTAAATTTAAGTTGTTGTTATTGTTGTTGTTAATTTACGTCGCACTAGAGCTGCACAATGGGCTATTGGCGACGGTCTGGGAAACATCCCGGAGGATGATCCGAAGACATGCCATCACAATTTTGATCCTCTGCGGAGGGGATGGTACCCCCGCTTTGGTAGCCCGACGACCTGCGCGCGAAGTCGAGCACGACTAAATTTAAGAGAATTAGTGAATAGAACTAACTTAATGTGATCATACTTTTTGGAAGTTATCTATTTTAAAATTAAATGCACATTTTTAAAAAAATAACCGCATCATTGGCGTATAATTTTTAAAATATCGCATTATTTATTTGGTTCTAATTTTAGTGACATTTTAAAGAAAAATGCAGCTTTTCCCTATAGTAAAATTTGGCGAGATTTCAAGTTTATTTTAAACATTTCTCGCCGCGTCAGATTAGATAAACGCAATGAAATTTTTCACGCAAAGATTAGAACTGCTCTTTTTTTATTAGTTCAAATTTGCTTCTGATTTTAACTAATAAAATTTTAATTGGAAAGGTTTTAATTGAATACAAATATCAAAATGCTACGATAATCAGTGTTTTTCTTCATTCCTTAAATACTCATTCCGTAATACTTATTTCTTCTATAAGCTCATAAAGTACAGTTATTAAATAATTGTACAAGAATAAATATGAAGTTTTGAAAAAAAATATGAATTGTAATGAGCTTTAAGTCTTATAAGAAAGGAACCAGCACATATGTTGTCTTGCCCACGTTATGTAAACCATTGTAATTTCCTAGCTATTAATGCGTTGTGGAAAAACAGAAAAAATGCTCAGATAAAGCTAGTAAAATGGCAAACGAAAATTTTATTATTTAAAAAATTTAGGCTTACGCGAAAAATATTTGAAAGTTAACATGAGCATGATTTTCTTTTTCTTGAAGATCGAAAAAAACAAACAGTGTTCGCTTTCTCGAGAAGTTTTAAAAGTACCGTTAATATTGCCTTTAAAGATTTTAAGATTATTAATTGAAAAACCATTTAAACATTATTTGACAGGTTTTATTCAAATTTTATCTCATATATGTTTGGTGCATGCTGGCTAAAGAATAAGTGCTGTATTAATATTTCAGTTTAGTGAGATTATCATCATATTCTTTATAAAACGATTTCGTAAACAATTATGATTCAGGTAAAGTAACTTTCTAGTTGGTTGTTCAATCTTAATATTCTTTTAAAAGTAATACATATTGTTGGTACTGAATAGAGTTTTAAATTTCCTAATTTTAAATAAGTAGAATTTTATTACTTTCTCAGCTTCCGTCATTAAATACTTTGTTACCTATCATTACGCATGCCGAAACGGGTACGTAATTTTAGATATTACTGAAAATTACCAGTTGCTAAATTTTGATTATTTCTTATATCCATTGTTATTTCTTATGCATAGTTTATACCTTATATGTGTTTCGTTTTTATTGAAAAGACTTTATTTTTAACTGAAAACAAATACAGAAAAAAATATCATGATGTATGAAGTTATATACTTAGTATTATTATTCATTAACTATTACCGAAGGAACACGCAACAAGTAGTAGATTTACTGGTACCTTTTTTTTATATATATATAACCGTCATTGAACAGCAGACCCAATTTTATGCGTTTACGATTACTAATGTTCAACTCCGTAGCCTTGTAATTTTGAAGCCAATCCAGAAGACAAGGGAACTCCTGGATCGAGTATTGGGAGACTTTTTTTTTATGCGTGGAGGACTTTTTGATGGAGCTAACGCACATTTGCCTTACATGAAGAGGAAGACCACGATAATCTCCCACGGTTAGCCTAACGGCAAGGGGACTCTAACCCATGATCCGTCTACCACTGACGATACTTCACGTCAGCAGTGTGGTAAGTGCAAACCGGATGCGGAATTCGTATCGACAGGGATTTGAACCCGGTTCGCCTCATTGGAAGGCGAACGCTTGAAGTAGCTTAAAGCTTTTTGCATATCGGAGACATATCTAGATTTTTGGTAGGAAAATAATGCATGTTGCTGTTTCGTCATTCATATATGGAACTATACAATATCCAAAAAGTACTTTGACTTTTTGAAAACTTTTGTATGTGATGTAATCAGCTCATCTGATTACGTAATTTTTCTTGTAATAAAGCAAGAAAAGGACAAAGGACATATAAGCGTAGAAATAAGCCTAGACAATTGTCTAGGAATACAGCTATTGCTACGTCTAGATCAGAGGTTTCCAACTCACATGAGGCCGGAGGCCACAATTAAAAGCGCAAATCAAATGGCGGGCCGCAATTTTATCAAAATTTTACGTAGGACTCTTTTATGTTTGAAGAAAAATTAAATATTACTGTCAGATTTTTACCAAGTTGTACAAAACAAAAGTATTGAATTACAAATTAAAATAAGAAGTATATTTTTAAAAATATTTAATTGCATATTAAAAAATTCGGGCTACAATAACTTTAATGTGCACCCATGTATTAAACAATTAATGTGAAACATATATTTAATTGTTAAGATATAAAACTTTAAAGACGTTGGTATTAAAACTTACATAGTAGCACACGAAATGTTCAATGACGAAATTGAGGCTTGTCTGCTGCAACCACAAGAGAATAGATATTTACGTTTTAAATTTAAAATTTACAAATGTGTCTGTAAATATTTTCGTCCAAAATGAGTGGTTTCAAAATGTTAAATCGGGAAATTTCTTAGAGAAAATTTCTGAAACACACATGCTAAATTATATTCACAAAATACAAAAAATGAAATAAAAAAGAGCAACATACACGATTATTTTTGTATTTGAATAAATGTTTTCTAGGATGCAAAACCTGTGAAATAATTTTTTTTGCACCGTTGGTATGATAAATTTCACAGAAACAAATAAATTAGGTTTTTATTAGCGAGAAAAGTATTTTAAACCCATGTCAGCAAAAAAATTACAACTAATATATTTTAGTTCGCGGGCCACGAAAAAAGGCTCCGTGGGCCGCCAGTTAGAAACCACTGGTCTAGATGATGGACAGAAGAGAACCAAGGTAAACGAACTTTCAGTATAAGCCGGATGCCAATACGCCAAATGGCTTGATGACGATTTTGTAATATTTGGATAATATTCGTAAAATTTGCTGTACTCTTTTGCACCACAAATTTCTACATTCATGACTTTCAATTATCGTATTATTTTGTAACTTTTTTTCCAACTAATGTCACTCATTGCTTTGGTCAGCAGAATCAGTCTACAATGCTGTAACATATGTCTTGTAAGTTATTTCTTTGCTTAATTTTCTTTATAATCTTAATTTTTTTTTTGTTTTTTATAAGCCTATTTCCTGAAAAATGTACTTAGAGGGTTTATGCTATCATATACTACCGAATAAACAATAAATTTACACTTAAAACTACAATCCGATTGATTTATTAACCCATTAGTGCCCTCAGTTACTTTTAGGCACGAATTTATACATCTTTCAAACTCAGTCTTATAAGCATAAATTTTATCCAGATTTTGTGGATTTTTTTTCCTTGTAGTTTACAAAAGGCAGGACGCATCAAGCGTTTAGATACTGTAACCTTTTTTGAATGTTCTTTTTTTCGGACTTAAAAAAAAAATCAGAATTGGTTTTTCACAATGCCAAAAAAATTTAAGTTTGAGTAATTATGCATCAATTTATTTGCATTAAACAAATATTTCAATAAATACTTTTTTCTTAGAGTCACGCTTAATTTTAGAATTTCAGGAATGTTTGGCATCGTTATGGATAGCTGACCGCATTGCGCAAATAGAGCTATGGGTTAAAGTTCACCTTAAGACTTCCTAGTTACAACTTCCGACTGATTTTAACGCCTAAACTTGGAAAAAAAAACGCACCATCCAATGTTGTTATACTTGTAGTGTTTTCAATGTAACACGTTCTTTCAATATAACTTTCAAAGAAACAAACAACTGAATTCGGAAGATTCCGCAAACTTGCTATGATGCTAACCAAAAAATAGCAAACGGTGCTATTTTACACAAATATAGCAAAATAAGGGAAAACACTCAAAACATGGCAAACCTTATACTTTATTTTTGCTGTAATATTAATTTTGTTGAGTTTCTTTTGGACTCAAGACCTGTTAGAAATCATTAATTACAGAAAACTCTTATGAATGGTAAAATTACGTGTACATTTGAACACAAATCACTATAATAAAACTTCCTTGAATATTAAGCCTGTTCACGCAGCGCCTCGTAAGCACAACATAAGCGGAAGGATACACCGAAAGTTTGCTAAATTTCTTCCGGTTTTAGGAACCTTGTTATTGTTTACATATTCAGTCAGCCATCCATTGCGTAAGTTGTTTTCAAATTTCGAATTAAAAAAATAAAAATTTTAAATAGGAATTTTTTATTATTTTTATAATTGATTTCATGACATTTAATAATAATACACGAAATATTATTATAAAACTGAGATTTATTCATTATTAGACCAGAGAATCTGAAAAGTTAGCAATCACATGGACCGAAAAGCCCATGTGACAGAGAAATCAACAAATGAGAAATATTCCTAAGTCGTCATTCTTTTCATTGCAAAAGTTCTATAATAAAGTTTGGTGTTATTATTATTATTTTTTTTTTTATAAATTCCAGGTAAGATATCGGAAACTTTTTATTGGTGGCATTGATCCCGAAGTAGCAGAGAATGATCTAAGAGAGTATTTCGAAAAATATGGCGTCATCAGTGGTTGTACAATTCATCGAAACAGGGACACGGGAACATCTAGGGGTTTTGCGTTCATCACTTTCAAAGAAGCAACTTCTGTAGATGCAGTACAAAATAGTCGTCCGCACATCATAAATAGTTGTGAGGCAAGTAGTTTTTTTTTCCTACAGTTATTAATTTACGAAGTGGCAGGGATTTGATTCTGAGCCAACTTATTAAATGATTTGCTGTTGCTTTTGCTGCTTATCCTCTTAATCTGACATAAGTCCGATAAGCTCCAGTAGGTCGCTGACCGCAAGAAAATCCTCAACAAAAAGGGGATCTTAGAAAAAAAAGGGGTAAGATCCACCTTAGAAAGTCCAAGGCAAACTGGAATATGTTCCGGCCAGGGACTAATATAGGGGCCTTTATATCTATGGTTCCGGCGAAGCTGGTCGAACACAGCATTTTTCGCAAGAGGGGAAGATCTTTCTCCCTCTCTCAAAAGTAAGGTACTTAAAACGGCCACTTCCAAATCTGACCTCGTTAAGATACGGTTCCCAGCAGTATCACCGAAGTCAAGCATCACTGGCTGCTGTCAGTGTGCGGGTGGGTGACCACTTGGATCAGTCTGAGTAGGGACCGAGTGTGTACGGTATTGGTCCTCGTTAAACTGTTCTACCGTTTAACGAGGTGCTCGACTTCGCGTGCAGGTCGTCGGGCTATAGAAGCGGGGGTGCCATCCCTTCTGTAGAGGATCAAAATTGTGATGGTATGTCTTCGGATCATCCTCCGGGATGTTTCCCAGACCGCCGCCAATAGCCCATTGTGCAGCTCTAGTGCGACATAAATTAGCAACAACAACTAGGGTGGGCCATATTCATACATCACACACAACAGAGGACAACACAAGAGAGAGAAACTTCCATGCCCAAAGCGGGATTCGAACCCGCAGTCATTGGCTTCGCAGTCAGGCGGGCTAACCGCTCGGCCGGCATGCAGCAAAACGTGCAAAAATTAAAAGTTAAAAACTCCCGTCACTAGTGCAATATTAATTGATTCTTTTAAATTGACCTGATTTATGACTACATGATTTCAAATTTCAGTACAACTGAAATTAGACGTATTTAAAAATCGAACCAGCAAATTGCCTATTGAAAACGATTTAAAATGAATAAAAATGCTTAATTTTGTAATGCTCTCATATTTATGCAAGTTACATTACAAGTTATTATTACAAGTAGTATTTTTATGTATCTTGAATAATTATTTCCAATATAGTGTTGTTTTTTTTTATTTAAATTATGCCACGAGTGCCCGTCTCCTGCTCAATCCGCTTACCAATCCCCGTAATTGTTTCGCATTGATCATCAAAACACAAAAAAGTTTGTTTTCAAAATAATACGGCCCTTACTGTTTTTTTATAACAGTCGTTGAGCAGCCGACCTAATTTTTTGGGCTTAAAACTACTAATGTTCAACTCCATAGACTTGTGATTTTGAACCCGATCCAGAAGACAAGCCTCGATCAAGTAATGGGAAAAATTTGTGTTCGTGGAGAACTTTTTAATAAAACAAATTCCCATTTGCTTTACGTGAAGAGAAAAATCACGAAAATCCCCCACGATAAGTCTGACGGCAAGGGGCTTCTAACCCATGATACATCTACCACTGAGGATATTTTACGTCTGCACTGTGATCGTGTCCACGCCGGGTGTGGAATTCGTATTAATTAGCCATCCCTGGAATTCGAACCCGGCTCACCTCATTGGGAGGTGAATGCTCTATCTCCTGAGCCACCACAGCTCCTTTTACTATTTTGCAATATAGAGATATTTATATTTTTGATATATATTGTCAGTCTGCCAAAATTTTCAAATGTAAAGGGATAATGGGATTGATTGCCGCTGTAAACATGTCAATATTTCTGTGCTATCAATCTCAAATCCACATTGATAACCGGACTTGCTTAGTTTTTATAATTTAAGTAGATTGCTCGCTCCTAGCATCATCTCTCTATTAATTTAGTCCCGCAGTGGACTGATCGTTAAGACACGGTTCCCAGGAGATCACCGAAGTCAAGCATCACTGGCTGCGGTCAGTGTGCGGGTGGGTGACCACTTGGATCAGTCTGCGTAGGGACCGAAAGTGTGCGGTATCGGGTCTCGTTAAACTGTTCTACCGTAAAGTGTTCGACTTCGGGTTCAGGGCGTCGGGCTACCGAAACGGGGATGCCATCCCCTCTGCAAAGGATCAAAATTGTGATGGCATGTTTGTGGGTCACCCTCAGGGATGCTTCCCAGACCGTCGCCAATAGCCGATTGTGCAGCTCTAGTGCGACGCAAATGAAATACAACAACAAATCTTTCCAAACCAGTCTGGGTTCCTGATGGATCCAATTTAATGTTCATCAGGGTACGAGAAGATGTCCTATGGTACCAGTGGTGACTATTGCTTTTATTAAATGTTGCTATGACATGCCATAGCAACCTTGAATAGAGAGACGCTGGGGACGATATCATGCCAATATAGCTTAAGTCATAGAGTATTGTTTATTTGTATCTCGCCCCGCCCTATTTAAGGGCATGCGATAAGTCATAGAGTATGTAGTTTTCTCAGTGGGCAGTACACGATAGGCTGAGCTTTTAAACCTTTTCAGTTTTTTTATTTAAACGTCAGACTTATTTTTTTTTCTTAGTCAAGAATAAGTTCAATTTCCAGTTCTATTAAGTAATATGTTTTGCTTTTTCCCGATTGTAGAAGGGAATGTTAATTCCTTTGAAGGGTGTGAATGGCGGTTATTATTGATCATTAAAAAAATTGAGTTAAATACTTATGTTTTGGCCATAAAGTCAATTAACAGTTAATTTTACTACATCAGGAAAAGAAAAATCACGCTTTGTCTATTATATCCCGTGTTCGTTTTTATGATTAAACATTGTGAATGGTCTCATTTTTTTCCTTATGCAGCGTGAAGTCTTAAATCTCATTATGCTATCTATTATTACTTATTAAAAAAAAGCAAATAACATCAAAATTGAACTAGTTTTAGTCTAAAAAGGCCGTCTTAAGTATACTTAAAATCTTTATAAATAATGTTAAATCCTAATAAATACATAACTTCTAACATCTGTAACTGATCCGTAATCTGTAAACCGGGTTGCGGGTAAACCGTAAGCTGTAAGAATGCGACGTTCAATGTTATGCTAAATGAGAACAATCATAAAAAAATTACAAAAACCGATTTTCGATTCATTGAATTACATTTTTTATACAGAGACAGTTAAAAAATAAATTATTATTTTATCAATTAATAAAATAATAATTAATTAATAAGATAAATAATTAATAAAATAATAATATAATTATAAAATTAATTATTGAAATTAATTAATAAAATAATTATTTTATTAATTCAGCAGAAGGCATTGTTTTAAAGTAAATATTAAACGATTCAGTTTAGTCAAATAGTTTAAAGATAGCATCAGTGATGTTTTTTAGCTTATAGCTCTGATCAAAAAAGTTGTTTATTCCTCGTTAATAAATACCTAATTATTTTTTTAGTTATTATGCCAGGTTATCTAAATGATTAACTTGATCGTTGCAGCATAAGCGGGCAACGTGACCAAATTATTCTCCCTAAGTTTACTTGAAACCACGTGCTCATTTTGCTAATAGTTATGCTTTTAAAACATGTTATGGGAAAAGTAAACTTGAGGGTACCCCTTGGTGAAATTGGCGACTTATGTTTGATGCTATTCCTGTTTGCGCGGAACACCGTGGTAACAGGAATGGCTGCCAAAACATAGTGATATTTCAATAAAACATTGGAAAATTTCAACAAAACATCGGCCAAAACTTGCAATGAACCTAATATAAGCAAAATTTATAAGCCCAATTAAAAAGATTTTGGATCGAAGCAAAAATTAATGGAGTAGGCGCAGAAAGAAAAGGAAAAAAAAAACTCCTTCATTAAGCTTGAATATTCTCAAATTTAGGTGCACAGAATTGCCTAATAACAGTTAGATACTGTCTAAATTTATCACGAATAGAATCTGTGTACCTCCATCGCCACATAAATATTACGAAATTCGAATCGAAAATGGCGTCTGTAATACCGGACTAGCGATGACATTTTTTTCTTAAATCCCTTTTTATGACTGCCCACATACCTTCGATCTTATTGACCAGATTCAAAAGTAACCTTACCAGCCGGTATCCAACGTACAACTAACGGACCTCTGAAATTACATATATTGAACATTTAAAAATAACGCTAAAATCTAAACCAATCAGAATCACCATTGGGTTTTAACATCGCCCAGCTTGGCGATCAACCGTGATCACAACTTGGCGAGAATCAAGGGGCATCCTCAAATATAGTCTACCCCATGTTATTATAAAACTGAATAATTTAAAATCAACGGTAATTAAAATAATAAAAAAAGTTTTTTTCTGAAAAGCAAAATTAATGAAGAAATGGAATTAATTCGTTAAAAATAAACATTAAAAAAAAACATATTTTTATTGAAGCACCAAGGACAATTAATGCTGGTAATATGTATTAGTCATTATGACCAAGAAAAGTTTTTGAACTATGTTTCTGAGCGGAAATAATGTATTAATTGTGTAAAGTTTGAAAGCTAATATCGAGAAAAAGTCCAACTTATTTTTACAGAGAGAATAATGCAAAGTTTTCATAATATCTTTGCTTGCGATCTCCGAGATCTGTGTGCGGCGTGACGTTATGAGGAGGGAAATCGTAGCTTCAGCTGTAAGAGAGGAATGCACCAGCCCTTCTCTCTTCTCTTTTTAGCCCTGGTCATAACGGTTTTAATACTCAAATACATGTACAAATGCATCTTTGCAAATATTTTGTTTAAATTCTTTAAATAATCTATCACGTTCACAGTTGTAAGGTATTATGAGTTTTATGTCTCATTTAACAAAGTTCTTTTGTTTGGAAAAAGGAATATTTTCCGAGAAATTAAATTTTATTATTTTCGATAAAAACTTTTCTTGATAAATACTCATTTTGCGGGCATTAATCAATCGGCTTTTTCAAATTTGATTTTATTTATGTCAGAAATCTCGCTCGCCACAGTGATTATATGACACTAGTGCGCCTTAAAGAGTACTTATTTTAAGAAGTTTTTCTTTTTCCAATACCTACTCGGATACTGACTTTCCTCATTCGGGTATCAGAAGGGCAGATTTGATTACCACTCTCTCAGGAGCACCCTATTAGGTGGGCCAACAGTGCTCCCTCAGTAAGAAGTGAAGAAAAGAAACATCAATGCCTTATCCGGGATTCGGACCAGGGATCTTTCTGACTTAATATCAGTTGGCACTTATTTAAAGAACAGTTACTTATTTCAAAACTTAATTGTGTTAATGATTAAACTTTTTTTTGGCATCTTTACGCCCGCTTTCTTAAAAATCATTTTCTTTTCTTTCTCTTCTCCTACAACAGGTAACTACAAAAAGAGCGGTGCCAAGAGAACTATTTCAAGCTTTTGACGGACTTTTAACAGTTAGTAAAATCTTTGTCGGTGGACTAAAATCTGAAATTCAAGAAACCGACTTGAGAGATTATTTTTCAAGCTTTGGAAGAGTTTGTAGAGTAGATATTATGGTCGATAGAAACACAAATACGATGAGGGGATTCGGATTTGTTGAATTCGACGACTATGATCCCGTGGACAAAGTAATCTTGCAAGGAAATCATGCGATACTTGGACAAGATATTACTGTCAGAAAAGGTAATTCATTACATTATGAATAGATTTAAATATTGTAGGGTACTTCTCAAATATATATTATCGTAATAAAGAGTTAAACTTTAATTTTTGATTACGATCACATTATAATTTAATTCACGATATAAAATTTCAAGTAATTTTACAGTCGATCAAAAGGCCGAAAGGTTAGCGTACTCTGACTGCGAAGTTAACTGTTTCTGCTTCGAATCCCGCTTGGTGCTTGGATGTTTCTCTCTGTGTGTTGTCCTCTGTTGTGTGAATGTCGCTCATAAACGGGCATCAGTAGCAGTGTGGCGTGGGTAATGTTGCTCGACTCCGTGACTTAGGTTCACAATTGCCAACCGGGTAACGGTAAAGAGTAACACTTCTGACATCTTCCAGGCGAAGAACAAGAAGTTAAACTACAAGTAGCTTGTCAGGATGCCTATACAAGTTAATTATCATTTTATGAATAAAGCTGAACGTGAATAAAGCACAAAGAAAGACATAAAAATTGCCAAACCATAGTTTAACTACAGATGGACGAAACTAATTGTCCATTTTTATGCTTTTAATTGTGCTGGATTCAGTTTAGTTTTGCTTTATTCAAAAGCAGCCCAAAGAACACATAATAAATATTCATTAAAAGTTGTTTTTTGAAAGGAATTATTTTTGTATGAAAGAATTTTATAATTGAGTGCAGAAATTTTCATTTCGCTTTAAAATTTCTCGAGATATGGCGTAATACGCAAAAAGTAAAATTAACATTAAGGGGTCCAAACTTTGGATCGCTCTCTAGACCAAACTGCAGCTACCCCCTAAATTTTGGAGGTCGGAAATCCGAATCCATCATAAAAAAAAGAATGTTTATTTAAAGAAAGTACGTTTTTGTGTCAGGTCCCATAACTTAAAATAATGTCTGCACTAACTAAATAGCATATTTGAGGTTAACCTCTCGAACTATTATGATTGAGTCCTAAAAAGTGAAAATCCGATCATTAGATCAAAAATTATTCCGGGTGGTCCGTTCATTTATTTATTTTGCGCACTATGTGCCTTCATTGTACCAAGGTCACCATTGCCTTTACATCTATTTATTTCGTTTCAATTTGATACACTCGATTGTGTTTTTGTGACTTTGAACAAACCATGACTGTCTTACCATCTGGACAAAAATTCTGGACTAAATGACTTTGACTGAATTGTTGGAAATGCAATGGTCAATATCATGGTATTTGTTCAATAACGAATTAATGCTACACATTATGACCATTTTTCGAAGGCTCTGTAGTCGCATGAAATAAAACTTTGCTGAAAATAATATGCTATTTTCATAACTGATATGAGTTCGCAACAGTTACTCATGAGTGTTAGGTCAAGGTTAGCCTATCAGTAGCCAGCGCCCACCAAGTTTATTCTGAAAATGGCACGTAATGTGAATATGGAGAAAAGTCACAGTTTTAAGAAAATAAAAAGGGTTTGTGATCAAATTTTTTAATATTCAGAAACTTATTCCAGTTCTGTATTATCTGGGTTTATAAAAATGTACGAAAAATGGGAATACAGCATTAATTTTGATAGGCGATCGCAGCGCTCGAATACGCCACCTAGGGAGAAGACCGGTTCCATGCCTTTGGCACTTCCCCCTTCCCTCTCCTCCTCTTTTCAGTTGCATAGAAATGTACTACGATATTTTTCCTTCTCTTATTTTTTTTTTCTTTTGTCCCGCAGTGGACTGATCGTTAAGACACGGTTCCCAGCAGATCACCGAAGTCAAGCATCACTGGCTGCGGTCAGTGTGCGGGTGGGTGACCACTTGGATCAGTCTGCGTAGGGAC